CGCAAATATTGGTCTGTGTGGGTGGGCTTACGATACACGCCAGTTTCCAACCGTCCTCCATCCAAAACCGGGTGGAAAGGCGAAACGTTGCCTGAAACTCTCAGACTGAAGAAGTCTCTTGGAGGAGAGACGAAACGTTTCATTAAAGAAGAACCCGTCCAGAAGACCTATACAATTTTTTTCCTTTTGATTTTTTACCTGGATTACTGAGATGCATCAGTACATATAATATAATACATTTTCCCTCAGATAGATACAACCATATCAGGCATTTTTGTTTTTGTAAATTTCCTTACACTTACTTTACACTACCTTCCTTTAAATCCAGACACTGGGCCATACTGTTTTCCTTTTCTTTCTATTATTTGAATTTAAAATCTGTTGTACATTGCTCTCAGCTACCACCATACAAAATTCCAGCTTAATCTTGAGATTCTACTTGGGGAAAAAAGAAAGATGGATTGGATAAAGAATGAGATAATCAGAAGTACATTACAGATGAACAACTGGGAGATGATGTTAAAATGGCCAGATTGAGATGGTTTGGACAGAGAAGGTACTGTGGGTATATTGTTTTATGGAGGTTACTAAAGCAGCTGCCAGTAAAAAGACAAAAAAAAAACAACAACAACAAAGCAACAGAAGACATAGTGTGAACATTTTTAGGACAAATAGACCTTACATGTACTCCTCATGTTACAACTCTGTGGTGCACAAGTTTGTCAAGGTTCTGTGGATGACTTGGGCCAAGACTGGCATGCATAAACGGGCTTGGACCCAAGTCATAACTGCTTTGCAGTTTTAGTTTTATTTGGAGCCAGTGACTATTCTGCAGGACAGGTGTTATAAGATTTGTGAAAGGGGTTCTGAAAATGATACAAGCAGCTGAGTTTTGGACGAGTTGGACTTTATGGTTGGATTTTGCTGGTAAAAAAAAAGAAGGGAGTTGCAATAATCTGTACCAGATTAACTACATAACAGAGTTAAACCAAAAATGTTTTTTAATGTATGTTTTTTTTGCAGATTTCTCTACCAGCTCTCTCTAATCCCAAACTTCTCAAGCAGAGTATTCTGCATCCTCTTTCGATCTAGCTTTTCTGAGAGCATGTCATCTATCACAAGGAAATTGAACATACTACACAAGGTGTGCAAGGTAAGTTAAGCAGCCACACAACACTGCTTGTTTAAATATTATTTGAACATTGTCCATGTCAAAAGTTTCTGTATGTCTGTATATGTGCACATTCATTTGTATATTACCAAATTATAGAAAGACAGAACATCATTTTCATCTTGTTTTGTTTTTGATTCTCATTTTATTCTTGATTTTTTTACAGGCTCTACAGGACCGTGAAACAGTAAAAAATATTCTAGGTCTAGTTTTGGCCTTTGGTAATTTCATGAATGGAGGCAATCGAACCAGAGGTCAAGCCGATGGCTTCACACTTGACATCCTGCCAAAACTCAAAGATGTCAAGAGCAGTGTGAGTAAAACTGAAAGTCCTGAGAGACAATCAAATGTTTATTGTCCATCCTGACACTGAAGGAACAAACTCACAGGTTTAGTTTAGTTTAGCTAATTTAATTTCATTTATTTATTTCATTAGAAAAACTATTTATACACACAAAAACAATACACATCACAATTAAAATGAAAGGAAAGAAAGAACTTATATCTGCCCCCTTTTTCCAAAATCAATTTCAAGCAACAATAATCAAGAAACAAAACAAAATAAAAGCTTCAATTCCTTTTCAAATAAAAACTTTTAATATACATTATATAATTT